TTTCACTCTGCAAAGTAGAGTGATTATGTGTACTTTATTTTGTAGAGTGAATATTTTCACTCTATGCAGTGTGGAGTGAATATTTCATTCACATGAAGAGTGAATGATCACTGCGTCTCAGTTATCTCTTGTTCTTGTCTTATTGTTACACGTATTTGGTGCAAAACATTGTGGATATAAATAAGATTATCTATAAGGAATCACGTAGATAGACATATAAAAATGTCAACGTTTCTTCCAGAGGTAAGTACTTATAAGAATTTATGTGTAGTTTATTTACTGATTTAATATATTATGTAAAGAATGGTGTTTATGTTAAATTGTTTTTCTAGGTTATGTTACAGAAAAAGTAAATCGAGATCTCAGCATGTGGTTTGCCATGCTACGTAGCTTTGTTATAAATTCGGTTTGCATATTGATAAACAAGTAGTACAATGAGAAGTAACTTATATAATGACTTGTAGTTTATTAAATCGGCAAGTGCGTACCATGTGCTGCAAAATCTTGGTTATAGTTAAATCTGTTGACATAATATTAAATTTTTTTCTTTTGTTAGGAGACGTTAAACAGTACTAAAACCTTAAATAAATTTTTATTAAGCAGTGGAATTTCGGAAAACGCTGTCAATATTTTGAAAGGTAAGATTTGCAATAAAATTAAAATTATAGTTTGGTAATGTTATAGCAGTAATATAATTGTGTATATTAATAAACATTAATAATAAATTATATTCTGACTTTTTGTGTGGACGAGCTACATATATTTATTATAATTAAAATTATTAGTAAAATTATTTAATAAATATGTAGCTTGTCCACACAAAAAGTCAGAATATAATTGAAGGCGCGGATCAAAGAGAAGTTTTTTCAAAAGTTGGTCGTATTTATAATTTTAGTTTATTTGTTAATAGTAACAAAAGTGTATATGTCGTTCAATTAAAGTATCTGTTATTTTTATCACACTTTTTGTGTTACTTTAGGTTTTCTTTTAATTCCGTGTTTGTAAAATTATTGACTTTAATTTTTAGGTAAAACTTATAATAAATATGACAAACTTTTGCAAGCTTTTAGATGAGGGAGATATTTTATCTGAGAAATAATAAATTAATTATTTTTACAGATTATTTGATGATGATGAAGAAATAATAAATAACATAAAAATAACGTCTTAATAATGTGTTTATAATATATATTACTTTGTCAATTATAGTTAATAAATATTATTTTGTCAATTTCTTATTTATATACATTGCTTAGAATTAAGACTTATTAAGAGTGAATTTTTTCACTTGTAACAATTGAGTGAAAAATTTGCTTGACGAAACATATTTTTAGAACATCAAATATTCACGATTTTATATAACATTATTTTACAAAACATACGTCTTATTTTCTTTTACAGATGTAAATCAGTATTATCCTGTAATTCTCAATTTATTACGCATCACAACTGGAAAAATAAAATATGTACAAAAAGTACAATAGGTAAATGGAATCGAGCAAACTCATTTTCAAACATTATAAACCGCTTACAAATGACCAAAAATATGGTTTTGCTTTGTAATGAGAATAGTCTTCTTGCTTATAACCGCGCAAATGACGGTACCATTCAAATGAGTAAAAAGGCTACTCCTAGATAGCACAGATTATTCTACGGATATTCTATGTTGAGACTAATATTCTTTTGAGAGAATATTCGTACGGAACATTTATAGAATATCCCTAAAACATTCAAAATTTTGACGAACATTTTGAATGTTCTAGGAATATTCAAGAATATTCAATGTTTTCAAAGAAACTTTTTTTGTACGCCTGCTGAATACGCCTGAATCGCAATCGCTAGTCATATTGTTCCGCCTTCCCACGTATCTGGACGATACGTGAATGATACGTGAATATTCTTTGATATACATGTGGTATGCTATATTACACGTGGACGTGGCTTCATTTTATGTGGCGAACTGAAAGTGTCCGTTAAGTAAAGTTAAAGAAAGCAAGATTTCCCGAACACTGACCGTGCTATAATCAGCTGAATTACGATTTTTTATATTAGGTTAGAAAAACATGTACTTATATTTATACAGGGTGTCCCAAAAATTTTGACACAGCGGCCGTATGCCGGTAGAGCAGACCAAACTGAACCGAAAAGTCCTCTACCATTTTACAATTTTCACAAGGGTTAAAGAGATATTAATTATTAAAGATTACCGAATGCGAACGCACGGCTGAGATACGACCGCCTACAGACTACGGTCGCTAGGCGCGCGGCGTGCGCACGCGCATGTGTATAATTACCGTGAAAATTTATCACGGTCTCTTCGCATCTCCACTCAGAGTCATGCATTTTTTTGCAATTTTTAAATCCATGTTATAAAATTTAAAACAATAATTCCATACTGAGATACCGATGTTTCAAGTTAGCCAATTTTGGTGGTCTCATACTTTTGATTGATGCTCTGTAGAACATACTTTATGATTTTTTTTATCAATTATTACGTATTGTTTATATTATACAAAATAATTACAATAATTATATTATTATTAAATCTTTTTACAGATTATTTGCTTTAATTAGTTTATAGGCATGAGAATTTAATTATTAATTAGTGTTATTGTTTTTTGCATAACATTGCTAAATGATAATTTCTTTGTTTTTCCAAGATATTTCGAAAAATGAATGAAAATATAAAACTTTTAAGTAAACGCCAGAGGCGTTGAAAGGTAACCCGTCAGTGGAAAAAATATTAAGAAATGTGAATACTGAAAATAGTAATTCTAATATTTTGCACAATGTTGGTAATTTTTTACTTAATGTATGTTTCAATATCGGAAATAATGATATGGTAAATAATGAAGATATGGCAATGGATAATGTAGATGTGCTACATTATGAAAATATTTCCACTATTTCGACTAAAAATTGTAATTTTAGCATCATTAAGGATTCTATTCATTCAGCCGAAAACGACTATTTTTTTGAAAAACATTAATGATTGTAATAAAGACAAAGATGTAGTGATGCATACATTCTTAGTAAATCCGAAAACTTTTACCAATGATTTGCGTCGATTAGCTAATGTTCATAATCTTACACATGCTGCATTGGATGAAATTTTGAATTTAATTAATCCGGCTTACACATTTTTGCCTTCTACCGCTAAAATTTTGCCGCATACACCTAGAAAAGTAGAAACAATTTCTTGTGACAATGGGAAGATGTGTTACTTTGGCGTGGAACATTGTTTAATTCGTAAATTACGAAATGGTGGATTAAAACAGAACATTCTAACTGTTAAACTGATTATAAACATTGATGGGTTACCTATATTTAAGAGTAGCAGCACAAACTTATGGCCAATTTTAGCTCGTAGCGATGATCTTGTCGATGATTGCCCGTTCATGATTGCATGCACTCTAAAAAGTGAATTGGAGGAAACGTTTAGATTTAAAACGTTTTTCCCAAAACAAGCGTTTAATAATGAAAGATGTTTTAGATTTAAACATTTTAGTGTTTTAAATCTAAACGCCTTGGTGTTTAAAATATTGAAAAACGCTCAAAAGTGTTTACTGTTTGTCTTCAAACGGAAAAAAGTGTTTAACTATGATAGTTAAACTTTTACGTTCTCCACACGTCGAAAAACAAAACACCTTATTGAAATTAAACGTTTATTAAAATAAAACGTTTTTTTTTGCAAGACATTATATTCACAACGCTAAAAAAGTGTTTTGATATATTTAAAACGCTAAAAAAATGTTTAAATTATCACTTAACCTATGAATTTGTTCTCACCTGATTGAATAATACTATATATTATATAAATATTTTGAACTATTATATAATAACTATTATATTAACTACATATTTTCAATTCGAAGACATACTCAGAATGCAAAGACATATTTAAGAACTAAAATTTTTTTTTATTTAAGCAAATAATAACATAATTTACATACAAAAGCTATATTACAATGTATAATTATTATGTAAAATTATTATTTAACCCATGAATTCCGTTCTCGCATAATTGAATAATACTACATATTTAGAATTATTATGTAAAAATATGGACAATGCATATGTAAATAAAAGATCAGTTATCCTTAAGAGATCGATTTGAAACGGATAAATATCTTTTATTTCGTATGCATTTAATGTTTCACTAAAATAAATAGTTTCAGTTGCATGAAATAAAATGTATATGTAACGAAAGCGACAGTCGTGCACGACCTATGCGTCCACACATAAAAAATATATATATATACACATATGATGAATCTACAAAATATACTACACATGTATATCGGTCCTTCTAATGTTAGCGCAAAGGGATGCCGCTGAGTTAGGCCGCGGTCCGAATCGTGTTTTCAGCACTACTAACGCTCACGGCATTAATGGTCGGTCCGAATGAGAAAGCACGCTATTGATAGTTCGTTTCGGACCAGTCATAAGCTCGTAAATTTGTTACAGTAAAAAACATAACCTGAAAGACAAATGGATAGTGTTCTGTGTGCATGTATCAAATAGAAAAATAAAAAAAAGAAAAATGGAACTAAATGAAAAAATAACATTGCTGCAGTTTATTGAATTTTTTTTGAAAGCGAGGATGAAGATGATGACGACTTGGAATTTGTAATGAATATGTCTTCAAGTAGTGACGAGAACGAAGAAGAAGTAAGAAACCGTATCACTATTGTAGACTTGATTCTAAATACAAAAAAAAGTGAAATGCAAATTAGACCTCGCATCAAAGACTATGTGGAAAAAATTATTCTCAATTACACCGCTGAGGAATTTAAATCGCATTTTAGGTATGGCTGACCATTGTTTAAAGAAACATTGTAGTATCATAAAAATTTTCAGTTTAAAGTAATTGTTAATATTTACATTCTGAAATTTCAAATTTCCTTTATTTACAGATTGTGGCCTACAACTTTTGAATTTCTATTGGAATTAATAGGACCTACGTTAAGCGCCACTAAATCAATTAATGGCAGAAAACCTTTGGCAGCGCAAAAACAACTTCTAATAGCTTTGTGGATGATGGCAACACCAGACTCCTACAGGTATAGTAACATCTTAATTATTTGTCAAAACTATAAGCTTTTTTATTTGCTTGTCTCTGGCTTATAGGTCTGTGTGTGTAAAATTTAATATAGGAAAGGCTACAGCAATTCGTACTATGAGAAAAGTTACTTATGCTTTGCACATTCTCGCTCCGCGATTTATTCAGTGGCCTCAAGGTGAAAGAGCAAATAAAGTGATGGAAGAATTTGAAAAAGTTAGTGCATTTCCTAAGATTATAGGAGCCATCGATGGCACTCACATTCGCATAAAAGCTCCACTGGAAGATAAACAATCATATGTGAACCGCAAAGGATATCATTCAATCCATGTGCAAGTAAGAATTTTAAAAATGTCTTTAAGTGATTGGAAGTTCTTATCGTTTAATAATTTGTATTTCACTTTTTTAGGCAGTTTGCACCTCAAAATTGCTTTTTACAAGTGTTTTAGCTGGGAATGTTGGATCAGTGCATGATGCACGTGTTTTTCGGCTCTCTCCTGTCAGACAATATATTACAAATCCACAAATTTATTTTCCTAATGATTCACACATTATTGGAGATGTTGCCTATGGTGTTCATCCTCATATCATGGTGCCTTTTAAAGATAATGGGCATTTAACAGTTAGACAGAAAAATTTTAATTTTTGTTTGTCTTCAGCGAGAATGGCAATTGAGAGAACATTTGGGTTGTGGAAAGGACGATGGAGAAGCATTCTTGATTGTTTGCCTATGATCACCTTAGAAAAAATTCCTGAATACTTATTAGCTACTTGTGTACTACATAATATTTGTATATTAAAAGGAGATTTGATAGATTTTGAGCAAACACATGAAGAAGATGTATCCAGTGAAGCATTAATATCTGATAGAATGGAGGACGGCAATACTAAACGACAAAGAATTATGAATAGTTTGATAATGAGATACCATTGATATTTTCAATCTTATTTAATGTTTCATTGATTGATTAATTAATGTTTTAGTGATAGTTATTTCATTATTTTTGCAGCAAATTATATGATGATTATATGATATGATTAATATTTTTATTGCAAATTATTTTTATCAAATTTATTTTTGTGAGCGCGTATGTTTAAGATTGAATAGAAATAACCTTATTATTTTTGCTATAGATTGTATTAAATATTATATAAATAAATGTCTTATACCAATTTTTGTGTATTTTAGTAATACAAATCTAAATTTTTATTAATTATCGCTTATTAGAATGATAAAAATAAATCAAATTTTAATATTGTAAACAATATTTATTTTCTACACTAATTTATAAAATATAATATCACATTGGTAGAAGAATAAATATCATAGCTTATTATTATTTAACTAGAAGCTGAAAATAATAGTGATGTATCTATATAAACTTAAATAGTTATACATTAAATAAAAAAATATTTATCTTATTTTCACAAAAAAAAATTGATTTCACATATTACGCCCATATTGACATTTTCTAAGTTTAAAATGAGCTTTAATATAAAAATTAAAAAACATAAAATTATATTATTAATACAGTATCACTAAAATAAAACAAGTGATGAGATTAATAAGAATAACTGTAATATATTATTCCAAAGAATGCTCATCAGGATAGGCAAATCTTTAAGCTATTAATTCCAAAGCTAACTTTAACTTTTATATTTAAAAAAATAATATTTAATTTATTAATTAATAGTCAATTCATAGACTAGAAAATCTTCAGTTATAATTAGACAAACTATTATGTATGCAAATAATAAAATGAAAAAGATAATAGATATTCAAGTAAACAATTTTTCTTAAGCTCTATAAGACTACCAAAATTACTACATTGCAGGTACAGAGAGTATCCATGAAAAATAAAAATAATAGAACTCTTGGAAATAAAAACTTCACAAATCGCATTAAAATACTAAAGAAAACAGTTGTCCAATTATTTCTTGGTGATAGCTTCAAACAACTTCTGCATTATTTTAATTTTTTCCTGATGCTGTCTTTCTCGTTGATCTTTTAAGTCCTGAAACAATGCTTCTTTGGCTTGCCTTTTTTTCTCCCTTTCTGCTCTTTCTTCTTTCATATCTAAGATAAAGTTGTTTATAATAGTCTCAATCTTCCGTTTATTGGATTTCCCTTCATTATTTTTACAATTTTTTGAAGAAGATTCCAGTAGGATTGCTTCTTCATTCGATGTAGATGGTCCAGCTTCAGTGGCAATAGCTTTGGGATTTGCCCATCCTGATTTCCCAAAAATTTCGTGCATTCTCTGGAAGAAAACAGAAATATTTTTCAATAAGTTTTAGTCTAATATGATTGAGAAGTATGAAATTTATAATATATTTATTTACTTTTCATATAAATACTTACTTGAAAATATGGCCATGTTTTTCTGTCATTTCCTGATACTGAATTATAATCCAATATTTTTTTGTATGTCTTTTTCAAACCATTTAATTTTGATTGGCATTGTGGTCCAGTCATTGTATATTCAATATTTGTTTTCCTCATATTATCAGCAATGGCTTCCCAAATTTTATTATGACGTTTTGTGCCTGCTGAAAATTCTTCTTTCCATTCCTCATATTTATCGAGCAGTAGATATACGCACTTGGATGACCATATAAACAATGATTTATCATTTTCTGGAATTATATAAAAATTTTTATGTATAAAGAAGACTTGGAATGAATATAAGAATCATATTGTAGGGGAGCCATTATATTCTTTAGTCATACTCACTTTGATCTTTAGGATTATTATCAAATTCTTGTGGCTCTGGAGATGAAACGTAAGATGCACTGCTTGCAGTTCTTACAGAATCAGTCTCATCGTTTTCATCAATCGAAATTTGACTTTCTTGACTGATAACATTTTCGTTTCTTTTTCTATAAATATTCTTAATAAGACTTGTCATATAATTCAGATCTGGTAATACAAAAAAAAAGTTCCTTCTCATCAGCATTAATCAACATAAATCATAGTCATTGACATCAAGCATCAATTATTTGATGTCAATGATCAGAGCTAATTAGTATTAGTAATAGCTATTAGTAGAGCTAATTATCCATACAGCACGAATATCGAAAAGTAGACATCCCGAAGATATCTTTGAGATATGATATCTTCTAAAGGGTTAAGTATAATTTTATTATTAAAATACAAAAATTTATTTGTTTCCTTACCTTTAGTAGCCTTTGCAGCATCTTGTGGCGAAAGTTTTAAGGTCACAGTTTCACCTGTATCTTCTATAAAGACAGGGACGGAGATTAACTGATTTGACATTGTTTCTAACGCGACGACTAATAAATAAATTAATGTGTAGCACGTGTAGCATGTCTGACGTCACACAACCATAATCAGCCATGATGCTCACAGTGCCTCACCTTTCAACTAGGGCACCGTGAGCACTGTGCGCGTCATAAAACTATGACGTGCTATGATGTCATTATGTCCACGAAGGCACTGCGAGCGTGAATTGGATCGATCGTTAGTGTACTGATAGCGCTGTGAACGTAAATCGGACCGCGGCCTTAGATTGTTACGCGGGAAGCAGAAAGAGTGACTAGAGAGCTTTTGTCGATATTTGCATAAATTAGCTATTTAATTATTTAAATAATATTATTATTCATTTAATAAATTCATCGTTCTCTTAGACATAGCAGAAGGAAAGCGAGATTTTAGTTATAAGCGATATTTTATAAGTTAAATTTAACGGCGTTGGTAATCATTAATAATTATACAGTTCCATGTAATAAATTAGTTAAGAAATAAATAAATTAAACTGGAGTTAAGATTTATTAATTAAATTGTTATCGGCATGTATAGTCAATAGTTGTTAAAGCATTTGTGCATATAGTGATATAGTAAAAAGTGTTTTAATTAATAATAAATCGATAATGTGTATATAGATTATTATAAAAGAGAGAGATGGTGAGCACAGTAATTGTGACAACGCCCTATGGGAGGCGCTAAGGATGGTGAGTTTTAGAACGCTCTATGAGAAGCGCTCGAAGAGGTGAGTTTT